CGATTTTATATATAAGAAGATAGACAAACTTGTGTCTGAAGTCGATACTCTACTATGTGGAGTCTCGGACTGGGGACGACTAAATCTAGTCCAATTTAACCCCAAGAACAAGTTTGCACATTTCTAAGAAACTTGGTGTGCTCAGCAAAGCGAGTCGGTACTTCACACTGCTTGCAACTCTATAAAGCTCAAATTTGGCCCCACATAGTGTACTGTGTTCTCACGTCTGGGCGTGAGCTCCCTAGTACAAGCTCCTTCCGCTTTACAGTATTGATTAAGTATTTGACGAAGAGCGATTCGAATCGTCGACGACCAGTCACTTTTTATTGATTAATTTACGTTTAACGTTTGGAACCAGCAAAGTCCTTGCTCCCTTTAATTATTCCTGATTAGACGTGCCGTCCAATAGGCCGCATCTCTAGGGTTCAAATATTCGCGCTTCCGTTGGCTCTTAGTCTCCAAGTTACGCCAGACTGCCCCCAAAACGACTTAACTACAACTGAACTTAGTCATTTCGTTTCATACTTGTATACGTGATAATAAATGCATTTTTTACAGCTGTCATTTGACTGTGGGTATTCAGAAATGTAATACGCGTAAAATTGTTAGAAAAATTTGGTTAATTATAAATTGTTTTCAAAATTTTGTATCCAACGCTCATTATGTTAAAAATATGCATAAATAAATTTACAATTTTTTTTTTAAAAACGATATTGTAACATGTTAAAAAGAGTAGTGTTGGCCTAGTGGCTTCAGCATGCGACTGTCACCCCTGAGGTCGTAGCTTCGATCCCTAGCTGTGCAATGGACTTTTTGTGTGCGCATTTAACATTCGCTCGTACGCAAAACATAGTGAAGAAACCGGCTTGCCTTAGACTCAACACGACGGTGTGTGTCAGGCACAGAAGACTGATCACCTACTTGCCTATAAGGTCCTCATCATGAGATCCAGACCTAAAGAGGTTGTAGCGCCTTTTTATATTCACGCGCCTTTTTCAACATTCGTTAACTTAAAAATATATATTTTAGTTAATACGAGTAATTAGAAGCGCAAACCAAAAAGCAATCATCGCACACTCGAAGCCAAAATGTGCCCATTAGTTTTTCCCACACTCATAAATTGTTATATAACTTTCTGGTTGCCATGTCCAATAATATACTTGTCACTTAGATTTAAGAACCCATAAACAAGTTACAGTTTTTTGTTAGCGTCGCCACCCCACTACCTCTAATTTGGTTAGGTATAAGCTCATATTTTAAACGATTAAAACCAGTTGACACAGCGTCAAACAAAGTGTGTTATTTAATATATCTAATATATATTTGAAACCGCCACCCAATTTAACTCGAGTGTATTACTGATTTCTACAAAATTTCAATATCGATAAATTAATTACGAATTCCCAAAGTTCTCTAAGACGTATTAAAATATATATTTATTTGGTTAAGGCGACGCGGTTTGCGATATATTTGTTTTTATATATAACGCGGACAGAAGGCTCACCTAACAAGATTTTTTTTTATTAATTTATTTATACTTCGTTGCATTTATAGAATTTTTGAAGTTATACATGTGTCTTTACTAAGACATCATGGAACATTACAATCTAGCCTAACTTAAGACTATTAAGCAATTTAAGTCTAACCTAATTTATTAAAAAGGATATTTTATATAAGAGAAATTTTTAACATAAGAAAGTGCCCAATAACACTACTTACAGCCTCTATTAAAGGGAAGACATTTTGTTCTTGTGTTCTATTTTTTCACTCAATGTTGAGCACTTAACAGATAACATAATATATAAAATTATAAGGGATGCAACGGGCTTTATCAATTATAACCAGCGAGCTCTTCCAGGCAACACTAGTAAGGAAAAAAATCGAAATAAGATGGGTAAAGTGCTATAAGTGCAAAACTAAATCTTATAAAAAGAATTATAGATATTAAATCTAAGGTAAAAAATTTAATGATTTATAATGGTTTTGACACTTTTCTGCTGTATAGCTTCTTGGCCACAGATATACCTAATTATGTGGCTGGTAGGCTTCTACGTAGGGGTCCCACAAATAAAAAGTAAATTTCCGTGCGTATTGATCCCTTGGCGTTGCGTACAGATGTGGGGAGAGTGTTCAGAGGAGTTGTTGGGACTAATACCTGCAGCTGTATCATCATACGTCAAGGCAGAATACAAAATTCCACCCGTATCACCTCGGCGTCCACAACTGAGCGTTTCTTAATGCAGTTCTTGCCGTGCACCACCACTATGTGGAACCAGCTGCCCACTGAAGTATTTCCGAACCAATTCGACTTAGGGTCCTTCAAGAAAAGAGCCTTCTGGCAATGTTCATAGATTTATCACTTAACATCACGTGAAACTCCTGCATGTTTGCCTACTATTACAGACAAAAAATACTATGAATTGTAATTCAGTGTTTATTGGTATATTTTGGTTATTTCAGTTTTTACTTTGTTTAATTTGAAAAGTTTATTTGAAACCCGCGAACAACTTCGCCTTATACAGACTCAAATTAAGCAGTCATTACTAACAGGTGACGTACAACGAGCATATATTAACCTCTCTTTCCAACGTCACATATAAGAGGGAGAAATACACCTATAAATGTCATTTAAATCATGTCCCGTCTCGTATCAAACTCGTACGAGTGAGGGAGTCGGACAATTAGGGTCTTTAGAAATTATTACTTTGTAAATTGCTTTGGGTGTATCGATTTTAGATGTTTTTAAATATGTGCTACAATATATGATCTCAGATTCTATCTATATCATTAAAGCTTTGAGTCTAAGAACTAATTTCCATACGAAAACAAAACAAAACAGGCCCTCAGATTTCTGTATATTTCGTGATAATTTCTTAATAGGCAAGTAGGTCATCAGCCGTCAGAGGCACGTGAGTCCAAGGACTAATTTCCTCACGATTTTACCCTATGAAAAGCTATCTATAACAAGCCCTCCGATTTATGTATATTTCGTGATAATTTCTTAATGGGCAAGTAGGTGATCAGCCATCATACATACGTAGGTTTCCTCGCGATGTTTTACTACATATTATGCTTGAAGCCTCTATCAAATGATACATGTATACGAGTATATCATTTGTCAAGCCGGAGTGAATTTAATTTCAAAAAACATTGGCCAAGAAAAGCTTTATTGCAGCGGGTCTTTAAAAGCCCATTAGCAATTTTAACCCTTCACAATAAATATGTCGAAGCACTTTGGCCCAGGTGGGAACAGCGTTTTACGGTTAAATATAACGTTTTAATTTTTCAGAATGAGTCTATAATGTTTACAGTTAATTAATTGGTGTTATTCTGGATACTTGTAATATTTCTTAGGTCTGGGCCTCAGGTGTTTCATGATTTGTCAATTTAATAGCTAAGTGATGAATCTGTGACACGCCGACGTGTTGGGTCTAAGGCAAGTTTTCCTCACGATGTATTCTTTCGTGCGAGCGAATGTTAAATGCGCATTAAAAGTCCATTGGTGCACAACTGGGGTTTGAACCTCAGGCTGAGAGTCGCATGCTGAAGCCACTAGGCCGACATTTAATACTAGAAGGAAATTATCACGAGTTAAGCCAAAGTGTCAGGTACTGATCTCTCTCTTTCTCATCTCTTTGTCTATTAAGATATGATAGTGAAATACAGAAATGTGTGACTTAAAAGGTACCGCCACTGGTTCTGAAATTAGTAAATATCAAATATTTTATTTATTGGTCAAAGGATTAATAATATATCGGTGTAATTTCAATATATCTATTAAATACTCACAATGTCTGTAAGCGCAGAAAGCAGGCTAGACTAGTATTTCTTTTTTCCTCGAACTCTGTTTGCAGTTTTCACGGAAAACTGCACGGAAACCTAAAAACCAGGGTAGAATAGTAATGTTCCATATGTTGGTATGTTACTAAAAAGGTAGGCTAAGTAAAATCATGCTGGCTGGGGAAATATATAAATTACTTAGTGATTTCAATTGAGTTATTAACTTATTTCTATCTATACTAATATTATAAAGAGGAAACAGTTGTGTTTTAGTATGTATCTTTGTAATGTTTTCACACTTAAACTACTGGACTTTAAAAAAAATCTTTCTTTACTTAAACCCAAGAATTTTTCAATATAGTATTTTTAAATTTACTAATGTGGACATCCTACGTTAATGAGGTTACGAATTTTTAATGTCTTAGATATATATTCGTTGTTAAGTATAATCTGTATTTAGATTATGAATGTAAGTATCTAATAATCTGAAAGGAAGTAATTAAAAACTAAGAAAACTAAGTATAATAAAACTTTTATGTAAACAAAAATATATCTATAGTCCGACTTAGTAGACTTTAAACTACCACGAGATCGATATCTACGCGAGTAAAACCGCAGGTCATTGCGGTATTTATAACTAGGCTGGTAGCTTCGTTTTTATATTTAGAAAGCGTCGTCTTCAGTGTTGGCCTAGTGGCTTCAGCGTGCGACTCTTATCCCTGAGGTCGTAGGTTAGATCCCCGGCTGTGCACCAATGGACTTTCGTTCTATGTGCGCATTTAACATTCGCTCGAACGGTGAAGGAAAACATCGTGAGGAAACCGGCTTGCCTTAGACCCTAAAAGTCAACGGCGTGCGTCAGGCTGAGTCAGAAGACTGATCAACTACTTGCCTATTAGATTACCAAATAATCATGAAACAGATACAGAGGTTTCGAGGTTCAAACCCCGGCTGTGCACAAATGGGCTGTGCGCCATACATTCCCTTGTACGAAGGAGAACATCGTGAGGAAACACATCTAATTGGTTTCCACAGGTATTTTCGAACCAACTCGACTTAGGATACTTTAAGAGTGTCAGAAAAGGCCGGCAACGCACTCTCGAGCCCTCTGGCATTAAGAGTGTCCATGTATCATGTGACAGTGCGGCCGCGTGACAGTTCGTGCGCCAGCCACTGTTGCCGTTGCCGGTAGTAGACATGCCGTTAAAATCGTCTAGTCGATGGTTTCACCTGTTCTAAAATTAAAAAATATTACACACTTATACATTGTATTCTTGCAGAACACATTGGAAGATGTCGAAGGCGTCAGTGGTGACCTAATATCAGTTTTGAATAGAGAAAAAATTTCCGACAGCCGACACAGTGACCAACTCAGAGGTGATTATATTTATTTAGAGAGATTAGTGCAGGTCGTTTTTCTCGCCACGCCGCGCTCAACGTCATCACACGCCGCTCTCTTGCCTCCGTCGATGTTCCAGCCATTTTGGAGCCAACAGGCATCGCAAGAGACGGTGGCAAGCAGCCGGATGGGATGGCGTTGATGGCGTTGAAGATGGAATGGGCTTTGGTAAGAATTGCAATACTTGCGGAAATGCTGCCGTTATAGGTACTGCCACAGGGACCACACTTTTTAAATTTGTTTTAATTTTCAATTTTTGAATTTGGACCTATTTTACTAAACATGCTTTTTATTATGTGTGTTCTTTCTTTGTGAAGCATGACAAAAAAATTTTTCAGAATTTTACAAGAAGCTAATAGAAACAGACGCACAAATAAAAAAGCTTAAAGATTCCATGTTCCACAACTACCAGCATAATTATGATCGATTCAGACGATCAGTAACAGGCAAGCATTCAAAACTACACGAAAGAAGTAGATCAAGAAAGAAGAAAAACGCAAGCAGTCCAGCAGACGGTGTTTTTGTGAAAGAAGAAAAGTTTGTTATCAAATATGGACCTATCAGGCGGAATTATCCGAAATGCGATCCACACGACGAGAAACAGCATGAAGCGAAGCTTAATCATCCGTTTTATAAAATCAGTCAACGATTTGATGAAATGCTAAATAAGGTTGATAATAATATTAAACATGATATGACGACGGAAAATGAACCGAAAAATGATGTTACTGAAGTGAGAGGTGCTCGTGTATATGAGTAAGTATCTATGTCAGTAAGAGTTGACCAAGTGGCTACAGTGACTCTCCTGACATTCAACCCTGTGGTACACCAACGTTATTTGAATCTGCGGATAACATTAACTCATGTGAAGATAAACGTGGTGAAGAAACTGGCCATAGACCCAGAAATCTACATGTGTCAGGCATAGAAAGGTGATCACCTACTTGCGTATTTGAAAAAACAAATGATCACTAAACATCTGAGTCCCGGGTCTAAAAGGGTGTACTGCTGTTTTGCTTAAATATACACATATACTGCTCTCTGAAAGGCCGGCAACGCATCCACTAAAATGGGCGTCCCGTAAGGCGCGTATGCCCCCTTATTCTATAAAAAAATACGGTACTTACGTATTATCGCCCCCGCGGCAAAAATTTTATGGTTTTTTTGGCGCCGGAGCTGTCCAAAAAACCTAGTACCAAAAATACATACTGATAGAATAAATACTGACACAACTCACATTGATTATTATTATTTCAGCACGTATTCAAAAGATATGAGTTTCAAAGCGCGTAAACTACTTCAAGTGGTGGAAGAAGAAGATTTAGGTTACGAAGACATGAAGGAAGTGCTGTCTGATGATAAACATGATGATGATATCGATCAACAATTGGAAAGACTGAAACGTGATGTATGTATACTCTGAATTTTAATTCCGTAATTCCGTAGTTTCTCACAGCTATCATTCTTTTACATGTCAGAGATGGCAAACCTTTTTGGCCGGGCTAATTTTTCAATTTCAATACGGATCTGAACATCTGAGTCTATACATACATTTTGTTGTTAGTTAATGTGCCTATCCATTTTATTAAGTGCGGTGCTAGACACGGTGGTCCACATTAAAAGTAGTTTAACATCGAGTGTTAATTACGTCACTTTTCATCACAAACAGTAAAAAACGCACAAGATAACATTTTATTTTTTTTAAAAGCTTTACTAAACCTGGAATTAGTAGGCAGTGATGCCAGCTAAAGAATAAAATAGAATAATTAAAGTTAATTTGATATATTGTTGGTGATATTGAAATATTTGTTTTTTTTGTTTTAGGTCACTTGAGTAAGTAAATATTTAGATTTACACTTATGAAATGTCAGAATTCTACGGAATTACAAATCAGAGTGTAACTTATTACTGCAAATGTATATGTCAAATCGTATCAAGGCTTTCTCTAATGCAGTCATAAAAAGTAGCCAAAGATGGAATACATAATATATTCAAAAAACGTTTAAATATTTAGAAAGGAACGAAAGGAATAAAATTATAAAAAAATATTACATACATTATACCTAATTCGTCTATGCTGTGCGATGGTGTGTAAGTGAGGGTATGTACGTGAGTGTGTGTGGGGTGTACTCGTGATCCAGGTGTTCGCTATGATTATTATATATATATGAATATTCTTAATACTTCTGTTTGCGCTAAATTGGTTTAGGATATTATAGTTGTATTTAAAGTCCACCTTTTATCTGTGCGTCTTGCTGTATGCCCCGCCAATTGCCTCTTCTGTTTTAGGGCATAATGTAAGGCATCTTGTACAACCATGTAACTTTGGTTTTTCGGCTTATTTTTACTAAGGAGCAAAAATGTTGGAAATTTGTAATTTTTAGAATAATTTACATAAATCATTACAGGAGTCACACAACTTACCAAACGTATATAATCTAAATTGGAAAGGACCAATGCTGTACCCAGATGAAATCAACGCAATGATAAGAGATGCTGCACTTCACAACTTACAAATACCAGCAAGTAAAAGTAATGATAAAGAGTATAATAGTAAAAGAGAAAGAGAACTATCAGATCGGGAGTATGTACAAGATTATATTGATAGTAAATTTGATAAACTGGTTGGTCTGGCTCAAGCGTATAGCGATTATGGTGTGTTGGATGCTAAAGAGAAGAACACTGAAAAACCTTTTCTTGATCACCGTTTTATAAAAAAATACGGACGTAGTAAAAAAGGTAATAGACAATCAAGTGTTTGGTACACCGTTTGAACCATTTGTTAAGACACTATAAATGCTGGAGACAAATAAATGTAAATATATTATAGTGATTCCTGTAATAAATAAGGACATCTCTGGATTACCAAAAGTAAATTCTAAGTTTCCTATGTGGTACTCCTTCGTTAACTTTTATCTACGTAATCTGGTATTACGTTATCTGATACCACGTTACTGCGTACTGTCAAATCAAAAACTCATTTTAGTGTTCGGGTCGGTATCGCTATTGGAATTTACATGGTTAGCTCTGGTTGTATTTCCTATAATATATTAGATTTGCAAGTTTTGGTGATCAGCATGTCCTGTGACACATAGGCATTTTCCAGCTGCTTCCATTATTTTCTAATATTAATTGTTGTTCAAATTGCGTTGTTTTGTGCTTGATTGCATGTTTATATTGCTTTAATTTTTAAAAACCTCCAATTAAGTAAACAAGGTCTCTACGGATAAATCTTTAAACAACGTATCAGAATTTAAAATGGTTTATGAATAAAAAGTAAACATCAGTGGCGCTACATCCTTTTTAAGTCTAGGCCTTAGATTTTTGTATATGTTGTCAATATAATAGGTAAGTAGTTGATCAGCCTCCTGTGTCTGACACACGCCTTCGTGTTGGGTCTGGTTTCCTTCACTGTTCGAGCAAATTATAAATGCGCACATAGAAAGAAAGTCCATTATTTTCCGTTTCTACGACCTCACGAATGAGAGTCGCACGCTGAAGCCACTAGGCCAGCACGGCTCTTTAGTCTAATAGTAGGTATACTGTTTTATAAACCATGCCAACGCAGTCGCCTGGGCACTAATTATGTTCATATGACAATAATAGGCGACTGACTCTTAAGTTTAAGATAAACCTTATTACCAGTGAGTAATAATAATCTTCTATGCAGGTTTCACCTCACCATCCGAAGGATTAAGAATCGAGTACCGCCCTGGTCCTGCCAACGACAACAGTTTTAAGAAAATTCTAGAAAAACACGTAAAAATCGTAAAACCATTGGTACCAGTTAAACCACCAAAAATATGCAACGCTAGAATGAACATACATTTCTTCACTGATAATAATAAAGATATCAAACTTAAACCAGACAGCACAGTACAAGCGATCGAAATTAATCCAAATGCTGATGATAAAAAGAAATTTGAAAAAGATAATCCTTTTAAATTCAAATCTAGAAATCTGCAGTCTATAGACATGAGTACAGATAATGTATCTTTAGATAACACAGAGGCTGTAGAAATAAAACCAAAGGTAACAGAAGATAAGAAAGAAAAAGAAAATCTTTTAGAAACTACAACATTGCAGTCCATGGATACGAAGAATGAAGAGAAAACGTCACTAGGTTTGGGAGAGTTTATGAGCTTATTGGCGGATTGGTTTTTCAAAATGGCCGACGCTTCAAGGTCAGATTTGAACAAGTACGAAAATAGATACTAGAGAAGTAGGTAGTCCATCACTTCTTCTTTAGTAGCACTTTTCATTTCTGAAGGCGCCGGACAACTTCCTCCACTCGCCCTTGTCTTCTGGGTTTTTCCAGGCTGTACAGTGTACCCTGATGTTCCAGGTTCCTATTCCTCTTTTCCGGTACTTAGTCTTGTTATTAAATCACCAGTAGCATTCTATTCACACTCGGTGACACACGTTAGTCTGGCCTGGAGCACTTGCATTTGACCTGGACAAAACATGGCGCTGGGTGTTAGCTGGATTGGATTTCCTTTCTTTCCTTTTACCCTCAGCTCCACTAATTTCTAGGAAATATACCATGTCATATGTCCATCACATTTGACACCTAATCAAAATTCAATAATCTAACGTAAGTTTTACTACACATTAGCGTAACCTTTTCTGTTCTTAAAAATAACTTAACGTCGTTACAAAAAGCTATCACTGTCAGATGTGAAATGTCATTGATGATTAAATTGATTGAGTGAGACACACTTTGACAATTACCTACAAATGCTGGTACGAAGATTATTTGATTCAAGAGTGATTGACACAAGATGGCGTCACATCTCCCATGGCACAATCCCTATGGCATGCCTCCAAAAAAGTGTTATTTATGGTTCTTAAATTAAATATACTTGTAATGGTGTATTTTTAATCTGCAAGTCCTGTTCTTGTATTCAGGTCATGCTTTCTCGTTGTTAATGTGATCCTTTCAAATTCAAATCCAAAATACTCTATTCATATTACCTATATATATATAGACTTACGAACGTAACTACCAAGTAGACTTATGAATATCAACAGAAAGATGTTAAATTGATTCTAAATTTACGATTACTACCAGTTCACAAATCAAAGGCGTTAAACGGGCAAGAAGAACTCTCCGCCCCTCTTTTTAATCGCCAAGTTTTGAGTCATACTGTTTGAACTGGAGCAAATCAATCCCAAGGATCATTTAAATAATCGTCAAAGTTATAAAAAGCTTTATTGATTAATTTCCGTTTAATTGTGAATTTATTCAGTGATAATCCTCTAATTTCGTTAGGGAATTTGTTGTAAAAAGGAATACAATTTCCACATAAGAAGTGGTTTATCTTTTGGAGCCTGGTTGGTCGTACGCTAAGATAAGTTTTGAAATCGTTTATATTTTTTTGTACTTACCGTAAGGCTTCCCATCCTTGTCTGTCTTTACTTCTTTTTCCTTCTTTTCGCCACTAACCTCTCACAGGTATATTACGATCAAATACCATCTCCTACAAAAACTTCAACATAGTGTTAGGACAGGCGAAGACTATTTACAAGCACGCTACGTCTGTGGCGCTTTATGTCACTTACATTTGAATAAAATGATTGAATTTTTAAATAAATAAACAGGTAGTTTTGATGCACACAAATTCATTTTTTATACAGATTACTTTACTAAACTTTTGTATTTTATATTTTCGTGATCTTAGCTGTTTAAATTTTTTCAGATCTGAACCAGTTAATAAAAGTGAAGTTTTGTTACCAACTTACGACAATGATATGGTAGACAATATTGGACATAGATCAAGAATGCTTCTGCAAGCAAATGTATCTGATGAAAATATCACAACGTCTGCAGCTATTGGTATATTTGGATAAATTGTATTTGTAGAAATATATGTTTGGCACAATTATTTTTAAAAGGGAACACATGTTTTCGTGTTAGTAAAAAAAGGATAGTAAGCTAATCTGACACGGCGGACATTTTCAGCAACAAACAGTCATCGAGTCGTTTCAGAATATTGCTGTGTTAGTAATAATATTTATTCCTGCATAATTATGTATTTATTAGTGTAAATTCGCGGATGCTTGGTGGACCCATGCAACTTCTTCAACACAAAGCGTCCTCTCGTGAGTTGGTGCAGTTTTATTGTTAAAAGCTATTTAGGATTATTTGGAATATGAATTTCATTACGTTCTGAATTTTTTTACTAATTTCTTCCTAAAACCTATTATTTAAGTTCTTTAATAAATTATTTTTTAATATTAAAAAATATGTATGTATATTGGGGCATAAGAATTTTAGAAAGGCTAAGGTGGGGCTGGGCACAAAAAAAGTTGGGAATCACTGGTCCACAGTTAAACACGTGGGCCTCTTCTAGTTCTCTCCACTGGGAGTTGCCCAGGTCCTGGTCAATAGATCATAATGTAAAATATATTATCAAACGAGAAATATTTACTATAATAATTAAAAATAAAGATAAAGATATATAAGTGAAACAAAAGGAAGGAAGGATATAATTAACTATTAAAAAAAATCGATTTCAAAAATCATTAATTCATGTAGGTAACAAAATGTACAATTATGAACACAAAATATTAATATATATAAAATACTTCTAATGTTACATTTACTGCCAGTTCTCAATCAAGGGCGTAGGACGGAAGAGAAGAACTGGCAATAAACTCTCCGCCACTCTTTATAATTTTACACAACGTTTGTAAGGAGCTGCAACTATTACACCATGTTCCACATGACATCTTAAGTAATTTATAATAATTAAATAAATTAAAAACAAAAATTTGTCCTCTATCAGCAGGAGGCATGGTGAAATAGGAGCACGCACGAACGGAACAACACGCAAATACATAGTCGAAATAACTAACATCACTGCATACACGAATTCAGACTTAGACTTAGGCTTTGACTGTGATAAGAGTAGTGTTAACCTAGTTGCTGGCGACTCTCATCCCTGTGGTCGAAGCTCTCCCCTAGCTGTGCACCAATGGATCATTTGCACTCCATTTGCACAGGAGAACATCGTAAGCAAACCAGCCTTACAAAAAGTAAACGGCGTGTGTCAGACACAGACAGAAGGCTGATCAACCACTCGTCTTTAAAAAAACGAAACATATACAGAACGAAGCGCAAACATAAATTTTTGGCTAGTTTTTGTAAACTGTTATAAAAGGTAATGATAATATATATAGCTCCCTTGTTTTAGAGCTAAATTTGTAAACAAATATAATAAATTAGGTATCTACCTAATTTAGTATATTTGTTTACGTATCTACGTACATAATATAGATAGAATAGGAAATGCGCGATCATTGTGGATAGAATGATAGGCTTCAAACAATGCATAGGTGTCAAGTGTGATTGTTTAATTTCAGTTAACACCACTCTTAATACAACGACAATAATGCCAAATACAACTAAAGCTATTGTAAAACGAAGTGCAGATTTCATTTTCTGGAACGACATTTATGATGAAGATGAATATGGAGCTAAAATGGATTACTTTGATGTTACTAATAAAGATAAGGGTGTTCTCATAAAATCAAAGAACTGGTTACAAGACAAAGTTAAAGTTGCAGCTGATAAGATTAAGTATGATTTAGAGAAGACCGTGAATTCTATTACAAAAGTTCCGTAAGTTTTATAGAACATAGCAGAATAGTTTTTACACCAATCACTCACTCCGCTGGCTCTGCGACCCAAAAAATGCATTGGCCTCCTAAATGAGAATCCTCCAGCGCTCCCTATCCAGTGCTACCTCCCACTCACTGCTGGCTTTTAGCTGCACCAGGTCTTCTCTATTGATCCAGCGGTACACACACTCACTCACTCTGCTGTCTCTGCGACCCAAAAAGTTCCTTGGTCTCCGATATGAGAATCTTTCAGGTGTGAAACCCTGTGTAATGAGTTCGTACTATTTTTTTTATGTAAGAGGGGGCAAACGGGCAAGAAGCTTACCTGATGTTAAGTGGTTCGGTGGCCCATAGACTCTCACATTGCCAGAGGGCTCCTTTAACAATTGAAGGATGTACGAATAGTGTCTTAAGGTCTTGGTGTCTGGAAGCTGATCACCTACTTGGCTGAACATAAAATGATACAATCGAAGGCTTGAACCAGGAATTGTAACAGTTTGCATCGCGGTATTTAACCCTTTATGGGCTAGAGATTTCTGGAATCACTGTAATTCATAATGAGGCCTGCACTTGCGAGCCTTCTGGTAAAGTGTCTCTATGTTTTTATTAGTTAACGTCAACCTCCTGCCTTTTGCCTCCAGGTCTATAAAAATATTTTAAACTTGGTCTGATTAGTTAGGTTCTTAAAGTCTTCTTCTAAAGGTAGATTTATTATTGCCAAGACGTTACCATGTTAACAAAGGTGAATCCTTTAATTGTTGTGTTCAGTTTGTAAGGTTACCACGTTACTTTAATAGATAGGGGGGTAAACAAGCCTAAAATGGGCAGTTATCGCATCGTTGCCGGCCTTTAAGGGAGGACTATGCTCTTTTTAAACAATTGGAAGTCGCACATAGTGACCCCCCACTGGGAGTCGATTCTAGTCGCTTTAGATAGCTAACCCTGATGACAAGAATACCCAATCATGAAATCGTTGTTGAGGTGAACTGAGGAATGTAGAAGATATTTTGTTTGCAGAAAATTGCCTAACAGACATGATAAACCAAGAAATAGGCCAACCCGAAACACTGAAACTAATGTAAGATTTTTATAAGTTATGATTGTTCTAACTAAATGGTTACATTATTATTAAGGCAGAAGGAGTTATATAATATAGCGCCTCGGATTGCTCCTTGTATATATTCCAGTATAACAATTTTACGACTTACTGCCAAAAGTACACAAGCACTATAGGTTAACTGCCGGGTTGTTAAGGATGATGTTAGGACTGCCACGCTTTTGCAGTGCCTCGGGTATGCCCAGAGTTTGATGACTTTTGGACGATCCGAAAGTGGATTGTTATAACTAATGTCTTGAAGTTTTTCGTCGTAGGCTTATTTTCTAACTCAAAGTAATTTTATTCATATAGGTAAACAAGTACAATCATGAACGTCAACAGAAAAGATGTTAAATTGATTCTAAATTTACATTTACTATCAGTTCGCAAGTCAAGGCCAGTCAAAGTTCAAGCGGGGGGAAAAGAACTGGCAAAAAACTTTGCCACTCTTTTTAATCGCCGAACAAAATTGTCGAACGTCTCCAAATTAAGTCAGGTCAGGTCGTAACGAACGTGTTTATTAACTTTGGAATTTTCGTATTTTAGAACGAAGACTTCGATGTATCCAAGAGTTTTGCTAAATTAAATGCCAATTTAAAGCACGTCTGCAGAGAGGCGGTGAACGCAGTTAGGAGTACGCGGAAAGTTGAAGGTACCATTTAAATATATGAGGATCTGTTAGCAAAAATTCTTTGATAATGTCACTGACAGGTCAGCTCTGCCCATAAGTTATGCTGCGCCATTTGTTCACAAGAATTACGTATATATTTTTTCATATAAAAAGATTTTGAAGCAGTGTTGGCTTCAGCGTGTGACTCTCATTAGGTCGTAGAAGCGGCTGTGCACCAATTTCTGTGTGCGCATTAAACACTCTAATGAAGGACAACATCGTAATGCCGGGATTAGACTCACCTGCCTCAGAAGGCTGATCACCCAGCCCAGACTTAACTTTTATATAACCTGTTTGGATTCCTTTGACGGTCTGAGTCTCGCAGGAGACGCCTGTACGCTAGTCTTGGAAAAAGCCTTCTGCAGCCTGAGCTGAGCTGTTAAGGCCCTTAAGGCCAGGAGCGACATCCCGTTAACAATGGGCCTGACGTTCCCTTTGGTTTAGAGGAAGAGCCGAAATGGACCAGTCTATGGTTAAGCTGATCTTTCCTTTAGGTTAGACCAGACCAGAACCTACTTCCACACTTAAGTTTTTCTATTAACTTTTTTAGCGCGCGAAGATGATACCCAAGCCACGGGTCTAATGCAACGATTAATCCAGCTTATGGGTGACCTGGTGGATATTCAAGTGCAGCAGAGGACTTGTTCTAGTATGTTATAAGATTAACTAAAGGGAAGAAAAAATCAAACATAGCTTATTAGAGATATGACACGAACGAACCCGCCGTTGACTCTCGCCAACTCTTGCCCAACCCTGGCCTACAGCCTGTTTAACCAGCTGGCCACTGAAGTATTTCCGAACCTATTTGACTAAGGGTCCTTCAAGAAAAGAGCGTACCAATTCTCAAAGGCTGGCAACGCACTCGCGAGCCCTCTGGAATTGAGTGTCCATGGGCGGCGGTATTTTAACATCAGATGAGCCTCCTGTCCGTTTGTCCTCTGTTGTATAAAAAAAGGCCGGCAACGCAGTCGCGAGCCCTCTTACGCTGAGAGCATCTATGAGCAGTGATATCACTTAACATCATCATCCTCCTGTCCGTTACCCCCTGTTCTATAACAGTCTGTTGTGGAGTTGTCTTTGAAAATATATTATATTAATTGACAGCTACAAAAACTACTCCATTACAGAGCTACCAGCAGATCTAAGGGACTTTTTGGAGTGGCTGGTGGTACCAGACGAGCAGCCCTCAGTCGATAACCTGGCTGTATCTGGTTTTAATAATTTGTTGTCTGATGGGAGATATGGTGAGGGCAATAAATGAAATGATCAGAATCTAAAATGTATTAAACCATATTTTATAAAGTCAATTGTCAAACAGAGAAATCTCCAGAGGCCTACGACCTGCCTCTGACGGAGGACACACACCAAGAGGATAGAACGGAATGCTTGGGCACGATCCGCGCTGTTCAAGACCTGATACAGCAGTACGATGGGATGTCTGATGATGATAAGGTTGTACTAAAGTATATTGACATATGACAGATAACACTTGATATTTAATAGTTCATATATTAATACTTATTATGGGAGACGATACATAACTCCGACAATATTTAATAAACGAGATGTATTAATTAAACATTCCAAAAGATAGCAGTACAAATAGGGTAAAGAAAAAACTGAAAGATATATTGTTACTATAAGTAAACATTTTAATAGATCTCATCACTGAATTACTTCAGATAATATAATTAAACCTATTTTAATATGTAAACAAAGTTCGTATAAAAATTTAAATTATACCTACTTACATATATATTATGTGCTTTAGCAATAAGAACAACATATTATAATAAATAAAATGATGTTTATATGTAATAACAGATGATTCGAACGTGTATCAGGTCCCGTGTTCAAGAAATATATTTTACCGTATACCGTGCGAAGTTGTCACCGGAAACGCCGCATCTCGAAACGATTTTATCGAATACGACACGCCGCGCAGTGGCGCTTATGTTCATGTTGTGTCGTCCACACGACTCGCCCATTCGAGAATCGTACGCACTCGCCCGCGTGGCTCGCAGTTGCCCTTGTGCGTTGCATCAGTCGGTTGTCAATATGAAGGACAGAATTCCAATATTGATCGAGGATTTTATTTCCTTGATCGAAAAAAAAAATCGAATCGAATGGTTGCCGTGTGAACGATTGCATCGTATACGGTAAAACCGTATACGTGAAAAAATCCAATCGAATGGTCGCCGTGTGAACGTGGCCTTACTTTATAAGTTAGAAATATTTTAAAATTCAATAAATATATACGATAAATTAATAACATAAATAGAAATACTTAGACATTAGTATACTTAACGTACGTAATTGTAAAATGCACACGATTGTTTGAATAACAGCGCTAAGATCGCCAACAAACTGTTATACAGTTTGGCGATTTTTTTATGTTGTTGTAAGTGTTTGTCCATGTTCTGATAAATAAATAAAAATAACAAAAACATGATAGTTGATATTTGCGCTGCCCACTGAACTATTTCCGAACCAATTCGACTTAGTGTCCTTCAAGAAAAGAGCGTACCCATTCTTAAAAGGCACTTGCGAGCCTTCTGGTAATGGAAGTGTCGATGGGCCATCACTTAACATAACGTTAGCCTCGTCTCACCTCCCTCAGACAAGCAAAAAAGCTGGGGCGGCCGCAGAGCAGGTGTAAAATAATAAACGGCTCCAATAATAGAAACATTCCTCCAACTATATTTCATTGTCATGTTTAGGTTACTTATATTCCTTGTGTGAATTTCAGAGCAAAATGGCGGGCGTCAAGGAGTATTTGGAAAACCAGTTACAATATTTAAATAGAAAATTGGATAAAATAAATGAATATGAAGTATGTATAACGTTTCTAAGGACATAATATACTACTATTTCCGTAGAATGCGATGTATCTTGTACGACAAGTCACTTTCCGAGTGGATTGATCCCTTGGCGTTGCGTAGAGATGTGGGGTCTCTTTTCATCACCTACCGCATTTACCATGGATAGTGTTCACAGTTGTTTGGATTAATACCTGAGTTTCATTATCGGACGCCCAGGCAGAAAGCAAAATACCATTCGTATGACCTCGACGTTCGTTGTTCCACAACTGAGCGTTTCTTAAGACAGTTTTTGCTGCGCACCATCACTATGTGGAACCAGCCGCCCACTGAAGTATTTCTGAACCAATTTGACTTAGGGTCCTTCAAGAAAAAAGGATACCAATTGTTGCCGGCAACGCACTTGCGAGCCTTCTGGCAATGTGAGTGTTCAGGGACGGTATCACTTAACATCAGATGCCCTTGCTTGTTTGCCTCCTGTTACAAATAAACAAAAAACAACTTTTATATAAAAACATGTCCAACTTAAAAACAACAGGACAGATTTTATTGCGGGTGTCACCAATATTGATTCATGAAGAATTATCCAAGTTAACGTTATTATTCTGTACAGGCCATAAACTACAGAAAGAGGGAGACAAGAAACAAGAGAAATATACACAGAAGGAGACGATTTTTCAACAAATACCTAAATTTTGAGAGAAAACATACAAAAACTACAATTCATACTAAAATGACGAAAGCTAAACATGCTAGCGAAATTAATGATAAAAATGTTGCTAATGATAATGTTAATGATAGTGTAAAAGGTAGTTTAATTAATAATAAAAATACGAGGAATTTAAAAGATGTTTACTTCAAGGCCCTCGATGAGGCCAAGAAGACGACGCTGAAGAAAATTTAACTTTTATAAATATATTTGTTAGTATAAACTGTGTTTCATTAGTGGCTTCAGCGAGCACCTCACAACCCTGAGCTCGGTATGGTTGGTCCCCCATCACGTATAAAGGAAAACATCGTAAGGAAACCGGATTAGACCCCATGTATCAGGCACAGAAGGCTCTTTACTTGGCTATATAAAATTCACGAAACAAATTAAGAACGAAACAACTTTCGAGGTGGTAAGGCCCCTATCCGTATGTAGTAATCATCGTGAGGAAACCGGCATTAGACCTGTGTCAGGCATAGAAGGCTCTTTACTTGGCTATTAAAATTCAAGAATATTCAGCAATCGTAAGACCTAGACCTAGGCTGTAGCGCCACTAGAATCGGTCTGGAATCTGCTGTTCCACCCGCATTCATTCGTTCGTAGCATGATGTTCTATAGTCTAAAGCTTTCGGTAAAACGTTTAAATGCAAAACTTTTTTGATGTCTATCTAGATATTGAGGTCTTCTATAAAACTGTAGAACATTTCTCTGTTGTCAGGTTTCCGCAGCATATATGAATCTTTATTGGTGACTTTCATTTGAGTTACAATGACATAATTCAATTTTTTTGCTAGACTTGAGTAAATATTGATGTCTTCTATAAACCTGTAGTACATTGCACTATTGTCAATTGTTTCCGAGGCTCACACCTTGGGTTACACTAACCTAACCTTACTTTTTTGAAATATATAGCCTATGTTCATCACAGTTGGGTTCTAATGGTGAAAGGATTTTTTAATTTCCGGAATGAAAATACGAAAATGGAGCCTATTCAATGGCAACAAACAATTAAATATTAAATTTTTATAATATAAGTGTAGGTGAATAGCTCTCAAGTTTCTTAAAAACTCATAAAATTATATTACACAAACTTTGGGACCCCATCTGTATTTAAGTCAAAATAAATTAATTCTATTGAAACGTATTAAAAGTGTCTCAATAAAAAATAGCAGACGTCATTTCATAGTACAGGGGCAAGCGGGCAGGTGGCACACCTGATGTTAAGTGATAGCCCATGAAAACACACTGCCAGAGGGCGTAGCTGGCCTTGTATGAATTGGTACGCTCTTGAACGAAATACCTGTCGCTCATGGACACTCAATTCCAGAGACTTCACCAGAGGCGGTCTTTTAAAAAATGGTACGCTTTCGAATACAACCGCGATACCAGCCTTCCATTAAAGGTTTCCCTCAGTTGTAGGCTAGGCTAGTGATTAGTCTTCTGACCCTGTGGGTCTACCTGACACCCCTGGGAAAGTTGCACGCTGATTTCCCACTTTTATGAAGGGTAATATGAACGACTGCCTTCTATTAGAAGGTCCCAAAGTCACCAGCAATGGCCCGATCACCGATGTAGCTGAAGTCATGAAGTCACGTTCTCCAAGGGTCTATATGATGTGGAATGGATCTTGGCACAGAAAAGGCCCACTAAGCCAGGTTTGAAGAGCTGGGAGGGGCTGGGTATGAAACCCAACACTTCTGCTTAATCAACGTGATCACAAACGTCTTAAAACATTTTAGCAAAATATTTATCACTAAATTATAAGTGGAACTGAAATACAAATAGCCCCCCATACATTTTAAGCTCCTACAGTGAGGTACAATGGTATATCGATAGTAATTAGCGTACATTATCGATATTATGACGCCGGGACTGCACTCAACGGTTAGAGATGTGAATTTGTCGATAAATAATAGAAAAATTACTTTGGGATTTGATTTGACAGCAAACAAAAAAGAGGAAGACAACTTAGAAAGCGGATAGACAGATAAAGGAACACCAAGTGGTACATGGCAGAGAGGAATGGCGGGATTTGGAGGAGGCCTTTGCCAGATGGGCTAGCAGATAAAAGAAAATTTAAATAGAAAAGTGTTTAAATGTAAAAGTATCTGAATTAAAAGGCTATTATTATTATTAAAAATCGGTTGTCTGTAAAATCTTTTTACTGACGATAGTTGAACGTGACAACGTCATAAGAAAATACCGATGGAATGGTTGAAAAGAAAATTTTAATTTTATTTGTTTAATATATATTTTTGTATGGATATAGAGAAGGAGGTAAATGGAAATCACATTTGAATTGAGATAGTTACATTTATTTGTACGCATAAATACAATTATGTCGATTTTTAACGAACGAACGCTGCCGAACGCGGTGGCCGATTGTGCCTCTGTGTCGCTCGTTCCACGCTCTCGCTTGCACTTCAAGCCTTAAATGGAACGCCTCAGAGCGAGGTAACGCCGCATGAGTCATGTTTTTTCGTGCGTGCAGCCGGCTCCATCGAATTATAATACGTTGTCACGTCAAAAATATAACTTGTAAAAAACCAAGTCTTGAGTTATGTACCTAACATAAGGTTACAAACACAAACCAAATAGCAATCATCGCACACTTGAAGCCAAAATGAGCCCTTTAGTTTTTCCCACACTCATAAATTGTAATATAATTCTCGTTTTCGACAATGTCCAATACGTCAACTTCACTCATATTCATTATAGGTAACAGAAATGTCACTATAGTTTTAAGAACCCAGAAATAAGTTATAGTTTTTTGTTAGTCCAGCGTCGCACACCCACCACCCTTAATTTTATATTAATTATAAGCTCATGCTTTAAACGATTAAAGCCAGTTGACACCTTCAAACAAAGAGTTTCATTTATTTGACATCCCTCCAACAAACGCAACCGAACTTAACTCTCGAAACACAGTTCTTCTACCTTTAAGTTGAGATCCATGAACAACAAGTTTAATTCAGTCACTTAGGGGTCTTCAGTTATCACGTAAATAAACTAACAACTTAAAGTGACCATAGCAATATTAAACACTAATTGTACATTAGAAGCTTCTATGCCTGCTGAAGTGTCTAAGAGTTTTGATGAATAGTCCGTGAGTGACAAAATTATGAGACTTTGATTAGATATAATTCCTACTACTGGTTCAAATTGAATAAAATTTGAAATATACCGTTCTTATACAGTCCCTGCTTAGTAACTGAAAATTCAGGATTCTAATTTTATCCACAACGAAGTGATAAGGTCGAAAATGGCCTGAACTGCTTCGAGAAAAGGAGGGCCAAGGCCAAAGACAAATTCTAAATCATTTATTCATATAGGTAACACAATATACACTAATGAACGTCAATAAATTTATACTATAAACATATTAAATGCTTTAAATTTTACATTTATTGCCAGTTCTCAATTCAAGGGCGTAGAACGGACGAGATTTTGTCTTACAAAATGTTTGTAAGGAGCTGCAATTTTTTTTAATAACTTTTATCCAAAATTTTATATTTAAAATATAATATAATTTATCGACACTACCACATCCCTAGCGTTGGCAATGCTATAATTTTCGTTGGAAATACAGCACTTACCGCGCCGGTTACTTTTGATACAACTTTGTATACAGCATGTTCAATTCTTTTACTGCTAAGTGGTTTTACCAACAGCGGTAAATGTATACAAACAAAAAAATCCTAATAAGCGGTTTGTGCTGAAAGGTGCTGCTCTTCCTCGACAAAAAGGGGTTTTCGGGCCAGTGGTATGACTGGTTCAACTGGCTCCAATGTGCGTGTTGTATGCTCCCTCACAAAAGTTGTGCTTAGCCCGTTCAGGGCATTTGCCCCGTAGGCGTTCGTGTGCTATTTAGCCCTTGATGGGTTTGTAGCGCGTGAGGAGACAGGGGCTACTCGCCTAATAGCTGATATCGGGAAGTAATCATACTGATGTAGCGTATGGGGTCAATTGTGGGATTCATTTCTGCTGATGCAGGACGGCACTAGGGCAGGCAAATACTAAACAGAGAGGGTATGCGCTTCGAGTCATCTCAGTGCGCCAATTATATCATAGAACAGCTGATCGTACCGATAGAGAATTGTATACTGTTCCTCCAACCTGAAGGGAGGATTCTCTACCAGTGAAAGCACAGACTGGTCTGAAATGTTAACATATTGTATATATGGTCAGTGGAAAATGCTTCGATACCGCGTTTTAAGTTCATCGTCGTAGCCTCCTGGTTCCATGTTAGTAAAAATGGACACGAGCCCCAGTTAAATATTTTTTACGCAAATTCCTTATTCAATTTCTTTACATACCACCCTGTATAGTAATGAGCGAGCACGTACTCTATGTATATTTAAATTTGATACCTGGAGTGGATATAAATATGTTTCCTACGAAAACATTTTACGTTTCTCGATACACTTTAATCGCCTTCAAGCAATACAGTGCTGGCCGTGACCCATGCCTGGACGTGATGCTTCATCAACACGAAGGAATACATAATACTATCTTAAGAAGAGGACTGATCAGGTGATCTTTATTGACTATGACCATGAAGTCTTTCATCAGGGCACCAGTTTTTCATTGCCGTTAAAACTCAACCCTCCAATGGCACGGCTGCCTCGTGGTGGAGAGTTATGTGGGACTTACTGCCGCATACCCACTAAAACCCCACGGCGCCACCAGCAAAGTAACAGCATTGTGTCCGCATCCCGCCACATCATCAGCCAAGCCCCCTATGCCATGAATGATGTCGAACGGACCTTGGCACAGCAAGGGCCATACTCACATCGGCCAGTTCCTCCGCTGAAGCGTCTGTGTGTCCAGGATTACATTTTATTATGACTATATATATACTAATGTAACAAATAAAATGTGGCCTGTGTATGTTAAATTAAACGTATGTGAAAGAATTTCATTTGTACATTGACCAATTGCTGACACGGCTCACGTGGCTGTTCCAAATATCAGTTGAAGGTGATGATACACCAACAGATCACGAGAGTCATTACTCTTCGACACTTTGAGAGGAAGCGAAATTTGACGACAGAGATTTCTTAAAAAGCACTTACATCTATTTAAAAAAATCAGTGGCGCTACAGCCTCTTTAGGTCTTGGCCTCAGATTTCTGAATCTGTTTCACGATCATTTTTAAATCAAATAGGCAAGTAGGTGGTCAGCCTCCAGTGCCT